TAGTACAACTGAGTTTAATCTAATAATATAAAAAAAAGGCCACAAGACTCTCAATTGTAATTGCAATAAGGTGGTATATAAATTGTTTACAAGAATGTAACAGAGTATAACTAGATTTAAATTGACAAGATAACAATATACAAGTTGAGGTAGAAAAGAATAAACAAAAAGTAGAAGAAAAAAAAATATACGAGGTAGTTCGGTATTACGAGTTAGCAAAAAAGATAGTTAGGGCCTTGAACAATAAATTTAATTGAAATATGCACTAATTGCATACCCACATATAGTCACGAGATATGAAAAACAAATCTTAGAGTAGGAATTATAATATAAACTCTATAATATAAAATACAAATTGAGATGGTACTTGCAAATTGCACTAGGGGTCTGGTATAGGTTGTTGGACAAGATCAGGAGTAGAACTAGATTAATTGACAAAATATAATTCAGAATTAAAGTTACCAAAAGAATAATTGTAAAAAATAACCAGGGTAATGTCTTGGTTATAATATGATGTAAGATGGTAGACAGGTACACAGGTACAAAGGATATATTAAAGGTTGGAGTTGAATATTCAAACTTGAAAATTTGGCAACATAAGGTTATGGGAAGTATAAAATAATGTATAATGTACCAAAAAGTTATAAATTGGGGTAGTAAAGATGGTGTTTAATAAAATTTTAGTAAGTAATAGTAATTACAAAAAAGTGAAAATGTTATGTTTATTTCACTTCATTAGTACACTGGTGTTATACTAGAGGTCTATTATGGCAGTACAAGGTAATTAAGAGTACTCTAAGCTAGAAATGTGTATTAAAAACAGGTAAAGGTTATTTGACAAGTGATGGTTATTAGATGTCAAAAAATGTTAAGAGTAATTGAAAATTATAGTAATAATGATAAGTATTAATTTTTAAATAAGTAATATCAATTGTAGGTATTTAAAAAAATATGAGGTGTAATATGGGAAGAGAAAGTATTCAATTCAGGCTAATGTTTAAAGCAAAACAATAGTAAATAAGAAAAATTACATTGGTGACTTATGCTTACTAGTAAAATCACAAAATGGGGTAGTTGATTATATAATTTATAAGAGATTGATACAATGGATATTTGAATAGTATGGAGCAAAAAACCATACACTACACTTCGTAGGCTTTTTTAGGTGGGACATTGTTTAGTTTTCTCTGTAAGTTTAGTATCCCTGATGAAATGTGTATAGATCATTCTCGTTCGTGGATTGTGTACAGTTGACTACATTTTGTTTTCCTAAACAAGATTTTCCATCCCGTGTTGAAGCATTGGTGTATTGTGCATTATTCTCCCGCTTAAGTTTTCTGACTCTATACAGGGAGGTTCTGGACGTTTTTGGTAAGAACACTTGTTTATGTATACAACCTCTTTCTTTACTTTCAATAGATGCATAATTAAGTCTTTTATTCCTGTCATGTGAGTGGAATCTAAGCATACATTTTTTCTATATGGGGATCCTAGTATCCTGGTTCTTTTATTTCTGACTCTGGTACGTGTAACTTTTGTTTGGTCTCCTTTATGTCTGCAGAGTAATTTCTTTACTGTTTGATTGGTTCATATCACTGGAAAAAAGTGGACTGTTAATATTACTGCCATCCGATTGTTATCTTGTTTCAGTTTTATCTTCATGGAGAGCAAAGTAGTCACTGAAAACCTGGTTATCTAAGTTGTTCTTCCATTCTTTTACTGCTTCTTAACCTTTGTAATTAAGAGTATTATTTGTTGGGTATGGCTATCTATGACTGTCTGGATGGTCTTGCCACAGTTAGTCATTCTGGTGATGTTCATAACTTTTGATCAAGGACTGAGGATTTTTGGTCTCGAGTGGTGTCTTCCTGGTGTCTTGTTTTGTTAGCCTCATCTCTCTAAGGTTTTCAATATTTTCAATAACTAAAGTTGGAGAGCTTGTTTTTTAGGGTATCTGGAATTCGTTGGTCATACCTGAGAGACTACTTGGTAGGTTGAATCCGGGGAAAGAGAGGGGAGGATGGGTGGTGGCAGCCATTGTTTGTTATTTGTTGTGGTGCGCTGAGCGGTGGTGAGGTGGGGTGTTGCTGGCCAGCGTTCCTCCATGGCTACACTTGTTGAATGTTGATTTTTTCGGTGTTTTCTTGCTGGCCTTGGTGCTGTTTCCTCTTAGATTGCACCTCATAATACTACAGGAATTGTTGTAGTTAAGAAGAAGTTGTAGTTATACAAAGCTTAGGGTTACGTTGTTTGGCTGGCAGCGGGGTGTTGCTTTCGGTTTGTGGGCAGTCTTCCTTTGATCTCTATTATTTTTGAATTGTAGGTTTCACTGTTGGTAGTCTTTGGTCATTCTGGGTGCTACGTTGGGTAGTGCAGTTTTGCTTGTAACTAGGTCATCATAGGAGCATTGGTAGCTCTGATAGTTGGAGAAAAGTACGGAGCTTGGAAGTTGCTGCTGCCGCTGCCACTACTTACTATGGTATGACTACTGGGTGTCATGATTGCTTGGCAGATACAAGATATAATAATTAAAAGATCAAAACACAATTCACAATCACAAGCTTGTAGCAGAGAAGAAAGACTGGACACGTATGAAGTGTGAATGCTGGGATGGTGGAGTGGTGTTGGGGGGTGGCAAGGGATGGCAGGAGGTCTCCCCCGCTGATCCACAAGGCAGCCGTTGAGGAAAAGGGAATTTTTTTTTTCCTTCCAACAAACTAAACTGTGTTAAATTAATTTTACGACATGTTACATAAAATTGTGCCGCAATTCTTCAATTGTGCTACACCTGAATCGTGCCAAATAAACTCGTGCTAAATGACGGTCTACTGTAGTATGATTTGACTTATAGCACATAATTTAAGCAAGTAATAACATCATAAACAAATTGTATAAGTAGTAGTGGTAATCAAATACAAAAGTCTGGACTGCCTTAGAACATTACGGTGTATAGATGAAGTAAAATCAGAGCTGTTATGAGATAGTTTCCATTACATTACTAAATTTGAGCAAGAATTTGTATTAATGTAAGCAAATGTATATTACCCAAAAGGAATCTGAAGCAGGTTTATCATGTTCTGTTATACTGTTGCAAATACCTTTGAACATTCATTCATTCTATGCCTTCATCAGTAAAATCTAAACAGCAGTGTCATTCCTTTGATTCAAATTCATCATAATCCATCCATTCAATATGTGCACATGTACTAAGCACAATGTAGGACATAATGTACAGCAGGGCCCCACTTATACGGCAGGTTAGGTTCCAGGCTACCGCCGTAAAGTGGAAACCGCCGTAAAGTGGAACACCCTTTTTTTCCACTTATAAATGCATACAAACACTAGATAACAAGTTTACACTAACATATATTAAGTTAGCAATAGAACCAGGCATCAAAAAACAATAAAAAAGTACAATACACACATAGTGCACTCATTACTTACCTTAAAATATTTATAGTCTTAATCTAGGGTGAGACAAGTAGTATTTATTGTAAGAAATCAAGTGTGGTATGTATGGTAATCAGCCAGGCTACCTTACCAGGCCACCCCACCCACACATACTATTCTATGATATTTAAGCATCCCAGAGCGATAAAATGTATATACAGTTCACTCATTACTTACCTTAAAATATAGGGCGAGATGAGTAGTATTTATTGCAAAAAATCAAGTGTGGTATGTATGGTAGTCAGCCGGGCTACCATACCAGGCCAACCCACCCACACATATATTCTATGATATTTAAGCATCCCAGAGCGATAAAATGTATAGTATACAGTTCACTCATTACTTACCTTAAAATATTTGTAGTCTTAATGTAGGGTCAGGAGTAAGTAAATGAGATAAAACGAATAAATGAGAGAGAGAAAGAATGAGTACATGACAGAGGACAGGCGCCGAGTTATGTAAACAAACCAGGCGAACGTAAGTTTTGTAAACAAACGAAGTGTACACGTCTGGTTTGTGTACAAGTTACATTGTGTACAGGTTGTCTCTACATTGATACGGTAGAATTAATAAAGAAGAACACTCCCATTCTCATGTAACATCATTTTGAGAAGAAATGAAGCTCTGAGTGAAGGCAATGGAAGTCACACTGACTTTTTTGGGTTATCCTAGGTTCTCTACACATATGTTATGTATGATAATCTATGTAACTGTATTTGTGTATACCTGAATAAACTTACTTACATACATACGAAAGGAATAATTTTCTACAGTTACCCCCAGTAACACATTTTCTCTTATGTTAGATTAGAGAAAATGTTATTCTTGCCATCACTTGTACAAGTTACGTGGCTCCCACATCTTATATTTATGTTTATTTATTCTATTGTGGGGTGTATTTATCATCTTTTTATGTTATGTATCATGTTTATTATATAATTTTGAAAAAAATGTCATGGATGGATTAATGAAAATGTGTATATTAACGTAATATACAACATTTAATGAGAATCGGTGAGTATTGTTATTATTATTATTATTATCATTTCTAATATGGCGTCACTTGTGGAAGTCGTCTGCTACCACATCTCACATTTATGTTTATTTATTCTACTGTGGGGTGTATTTATCTTATTTATATGTTATGCATCGTGTTTATTATATAATTTTTAAAAAAATATCATAGATGGATTAACGAAAATGTGTATATTAACGCAATATATGACATTTAAATTACTCGATGATTATTATTATCATTACTAATATGACGTCTGGAGACATAAGACACTTACCAATTTTAATGTGTACCTGCATGCCAGCACAGTATGCAAGTTTATTTAGGTACAGATATACATAAGTATAATTATCAGAGTACGTATATATAAAATATGAAATAACTTTTAAAAACATTTGAAATTTTGGAGTTTCCAGACAAAATGGAGAGACTTAGTGTTACTGAGCTCATGGAGAATGTCAACAAACAGGGTGGGGCACGGTGACCGTATTAGAAAGTCAGGTGGGGGGAGCCGTATAGCGAGTTTTGGTCATAATTTGAAATGTCCGTATTAGCGGAACGCCGTAAAGTGAAACGCTGTAAAGCGGGGCCTTCCTGTATAGTACAAAAACATTCGTCTAAAGATCAATACAATACCTTGTGAGGTCTTCCTCTGAGCTCTCCACCTTCTCGAGCAGCCGTTATAGGTAATATTTATGTTGGGGTCTGGCACAACAATGCTCTTCCATAACTTACGAGACAGCTGATATCTCTCTTCATCTGTCTTGAGTTTAGCCAAGTAACTCCACCTAGGGTCCTGTAGCAAAATTATAAGAAGATTTAAAAGAGGAAAAATTTAACAATTTATAATTCAGATTTTTTTTAAACGACCTATGTGAAAAAATTATCTAAAAAGAAATACAACTACAGTATTAGGTGATGTTCAAGCATTCTGGAAAGCCTGTGGTTATGAGAACATTGCTCACAGAACTAGAACTTAAAATTACTTAACACAGCTTATTTATTTATTTATTTATTTTATTTATTTATAATTTGAGCACACTTACAGAGGTACAAAAAAATACAGATAAGAGCAGCATGCCAAAGCCACTTATACTATGCATAGCATTACGGGCTGGCTTAAAATTAACTTAAGATTAACTAAGCAATGATGAAATCAGTGAAAAACATTAATGTAAACTGATTACTATAAAGCACAAGTGAGTATTACAAAGACAGGTCATATGGTTGCATGCATTGTTATAAATTCAGTAGAATGGAGTATTCTGTTAGGTAGTGTATTTAAAAAATAATAAAGTTAGATTGGGTTTTAGGTTTAACATTTATGTGATATAATTGTGAGAAACATTTAAGATATACAATTTATAAGGTTCAGTTATTCAGTATTTATTTGGTTTTGGGTGAGTAAGTGATCTTTGAGAAGAGACTTGAATTTATAAACAGGTAGTGTTTCTTTTATATTTACAGGTAATGAATTCCAGATTTTAGGGCCTTTTATGTGCATTGAGTTTTTGCATAGCGTGAGATGGACACGAGGAATATCAAAGAGTGATCTGTGCCTTGTGTTATGATCATGTGTCCTGTTGAGGTTGGCAAGGAGATGTTTAAGGGGAGGGTTAATATCAGAGTTAAGTGTTCTATGTATGTAATAGGTGCAGTAATAAGTATGGATGTTTTGTATGGTGAGTAGGTTGAGTGTATTGAATATTGGTGGAGTGTGCTGCCTGTAGTGAGAATTTGTTATCATTCTAACTGCAGCCTTTTGTTGGGTAATTAGTGGTCTGAGATGGTTACTTGTTGTTGAGCCCCATGCACAAATTCCATAGGTGAGATAGGGGTAAATAAGAGAGTGATATAGGGCTTAGCTTAGCTTAATATAATTAAGAAGTCTAAAGATAAACATTACATTTAGTAATCTTAAGTAACAAAATTCTGTATATTAAAACAGCAATGGTATTATGTAGAGAGAGTAACACAAAACTGGACTGAGTTATTATAATTTCTGGAGTAGAAATATGGTGAAGACAAGAAGTGCAGAGTTTGAATGCTGATGGGAGCCTGGATAAGCAGATTGCATTTGCTACACAAGGCATTTTATATTCAAGATACATAAATTTACAACAATGTGTATAGGTATTTTTTAACAAGATTCAATATTAAATGAAAGTCCAGGTGCACTTATCAAGAAAGTTTTTCTATGAACTGAGCACCCTTTCACTGTTGAGCCCCCTCCTCACAAACTTGCTCTCAGTGTTGAAGAATTTAAAAAAAAAAAAATTCTTTTAAAATGATGATCTTTTCCCAATGTTAATGACATCAAAAGTACGAAATCTGATTGAAAACTTACGGAATTATGTTCTCACGAAGTTAGTGGTCGGTGATATTTACACATTGGCGATTTTGCCCACTTTGAACCTTATTTTCAGCCAATTCCTTGTTCCAGTCAAACAAACTCACAGCTATTTCGCTACAACTCCATTTGTTCTATTGAGTGAGTACAAGAAATTGCCCATTTACTGATTTCAACTACCCAATAAAGTGGTCAGAAATTGGCAATTTGGCCAATTTCACACAAATTTCAAAAGATGCCAATTTCAAAATAGGGTCCAGAATGAACAATGTAGACATTCCTAGAACTAAAATAACATTTTCTCTGTTCATTAGTCACGTCTCCAGGCCCCTCTTATATTACTTGTTTTCCATTTTGAATTTTTATTCACACAAAAAATAGAAGATTTACTGTTATGCAGACTACTGCATTATTGTAATAATTGTATAAATGTCAACCCAATCATGACTGCATGTTAGACTGGCAAGTTGGACACGTACTGGATGGTGATGTCATTTGTTTACTCTTAAACCATCAGCAGAAATTGAATATTTCTATTTTTAGCTCAATTTTAAGGTACTTTTCATCATAAAACCAATCAAAATCATTTCTATTTCTGTAATATATCTTTCATTCTATCAAATGAGACCAAGAAAACAAGAACACAACCATAAATACCATACAAAAACACACCTCAAATTTGGCATTTTAAACCAAAAACACTGGGTTTTCTCTCGTTATGCGCTACGTGCTGCAGGATTTTTTTTGTACTGCGCACACTGACCATGTAGACCCATTCTCTCACATGTAGGTCTACCAGCTTTCTCCCACTAGATTTGAAGCCACTAGAATTTTGGCATAATACTATGGCACCAACAGCGAAAGGGGTTAATATAAAGCTTTAACATAAAGTACTATATTACAGACTGTCCCTCAAATTTGCAAATTAGATTAGGAATGCACTCACCCATGAATTTGAGAAGCTGACTACACTGAAAACAACACACACACATACACACACACACACACACACAAAAAAAAAAAAAAAAAAAAAAAAAACACACAGTGAAACTTCAATACAAAACTTTACAAAAGCAACTAAAGGTATGAAAGTCAGAAACTAACTACACAGTAGAGGTTAGCAATGCCTTCAAGAAATACGTACTTTAGTACCTTTCCCATAATTCTTAACTATTCAGATCTCAAAAACAGCCAAATAGCTGATCTTACATGAAACAAAGCTCAACAATAAAACAATCAGCACAACTGAGAACCATAAAATGCAAGTTTGTAGGAAAGCAAAACATACACAAGTGTACTAAAAAAATAATGCTGTACAGTAAACACATAGAAATGTTAAAAGCAGGTGGGGATATAGTTTTGGAGTGGTTGGTGCAATTATTTAATAAATGTATGGAAGAGGGTAAGGTACCTAGGGATTGGCAGAGAGCATGCATAGTTCCTTTGTATAAAGGCAAAGGGGATAAAAGAGAGTGCAAAAATTATAGGGGGATAAGTCTGTTGAGTATACCTGGTAAAGTGTATGGTAGAGTTATAATTGAAAGAATTAAGAGTAAGACAGAGAATAGGATAGCAGATGAGCAAGGAGGCTTTAGGAAAGGTAGGGGGTGTGTGGACCAGGTGTTTACAGTGAAACATATAAGTGAACAGTATTTAGATAAGGCTAAAGAGGTCTTTGTGGCATTTATGGATTTGGAAAAGGCATATGACAGGGTGGATAGGGGGGCAATGTGGCAGATGTTGCAAGTGTATGGTGTAGGAGGTAGGTTACTGAAAGCAGTGAAGAGTTTTTACGAGGATAGTGAGGCTCAAGTTAGAGTATGTAGGAAAGAGGGAAATTTTTTCCCAGTAAAAGTAGGCCTTAGACAAGGATGTGTGATGTCACCATGGTTTTTTAATATATTTATAGATGGGGTTGTAAGAGAAGTAAATGCGAGGGTCTTGGCAAGAGGCGTGGAGTTAAAAGATAAAGAATCACACACAAAGTGGGAGTTGTCACAGCTGCTCTTTGCTGATGACACTGTGCTCTTGGGAGATTCTGAAGAGAAGTTGCAGAGATTGGTGGATGAATTTGGTAGGGTGTGCAAAAGAAGAAAATTAAAGGTGAATACAGGAAAGAGTAAGGTTATGAGGATAACAAAATGATTAGGTGATGAAAGATTGGATATCAAATTGGAGGGAGAGAGTATGGAGGAGGTGAACGTATTCAGATATTTGGGAGTGGACGTGTCAGCGGATGGGTCTATGAAAGATGAGGTGAATCATAGAATTGATGAGGGAAAAAGAGTGAGTGGTGCACTTAGGAGTCTGTGGAGACAAAGAACTTTGTCCTTGGAGGCAAAGAGGGGAATGTATGAGAGTATAGTTTTACCAACGCTCTTATATGGGTGTGAAGCGTGGGTGATGAATGTTGCAGCGAGGAGAAGGCTGGAGGCAGTGGAGATGTCATGTCTGAGGGCAATGTGTGGTGTGAATATAATGCACAGAATTCGTAGTTTGGAAGTTAGGAGGAGGTGCGGGATTACCAAAACTGTTGTCCAGAGGGCTGAGGAAGGGTTGTTGAGGTGGTTCGGACATGTAGAGAGAATGGAGCAAAACAGAATGACTTCAAGAGTGTATCAGTCTGAGGTGGAAGGAAGGCGGGGTAGGGGTCGGCCTAGGAAAGGTTGGATTGAGGGGGTAAAGGAGGTTTTGTGTGCGAGGGGTTTGGACTTCCAGCAGGCATGCGTGAGCGTGTTTGATAGGAGTGAATGGAGACAAATGGTTTTTAATACTTGACGTGCTGTTGGAGTGTGAGCAAAGTAACATTTATGAAGGGGTTCAGGGAAACCGGCAGGCCGGACTCGAGTCCTGGAGATGGGAAGTACAGTGCCTGTACTCTGAAGGAGGGGTGTTAATGTTGCAGTTTAAAAACTGTAGTGTAAAGCACCCTTCTGGCAAGACAGTGATGGAGTGAATGATGGTGAAAGTTTTTCTTTTTTGGGCCACCCTGCCTTGGTGGGAATAGGCCAGTGTGATAATAAAAAAAATGATAAAAAAATAAACACTCGTAAAAAAAAAACCTACATAGTGTCATTTAACCCATTCAGGGTCCGTCCCGTAGATCTACGGCTTTGAAGTCCGGGTCCAAGCCGTAGAACTATACCAAAATTTTAGCAGCTTCAAATTTAGCATGAAAAGGCTGGTAGGCCCACATCTGCGTGGTCAGTGCGTGCAGGAAACAAAAAGTTGCGGAACCTGCATGGCATTGTAGGAACACCATCTCAGAACGCTTAGTTCATCATGCCTCGAGGCAAGGAAGCTCACTCCCAGGAGAATTGGGACTCTCCTCTTCCCAAGTTATAGTTCCAACACTGATGCAAGTGGATCTGAAGAGGAATTCTATGGTTTTGATCAATCTGTGATTGAAAGCAATGCTCAAGATATCGAAAATAGTGCCATAAATC